CCCACACTGACCCGACTATTCCTTTTAGTAACAACAGCTTCACAGAAAACAGCCTTCTGCTGTCATCCCCCTAGCCAGACACTCTGAAAGCAGTGACAGAAAGAAAGAGTCTGGGGTGCTGGGCCCGGAGCACAGCCCCTCCAAAACGAGATCACTGCTGGGGAGGGAGAAGCAGCAGGTGGAGGTGGGGAACATTCCTACCCCTTCCTCTCCCAAAGCTGGGAGCAGGGACATGCAGGAGAGCCCTGCTCTCCACTGCTGCAGTGCCAATGCCAAGAGGCTCTTCTGTCCCCAAACACACAGAGAAAACTTTTTCAAGCCACAGATCTTCCCACTGGCGTTGAGATTGGTGTCAGTAAGCACCGTGATTTCCAGAGCAGCTTCTCGGTAGCAAAGAAAACCCAGAGCTCAGCCCTCCAACCCCGCCAGGCAACGTCAGGGCTTTGTCACTACGATTACATTTGTGCAGAAAATATTTTTCTTTTTTTCCAAAACACTGAAGCTCTGCAAGCCCGTCAGCACGAGCAGAGGCTGCAGACTGAGCCCCTGGAAAAACCTGCCTGTGCTTCACACCTCTGGGTGCTGCACGTATTTGCACCGTCCACGTTTCCGCCCTGGGCTGAGGGATGAGCTCACTGCTCTGGAACCTGCCAGCTGAAGAAATGACTCCTCTCTTCCTGGCTTTTGCAAATGGGATTGGAGGAGGTTGCTTGAAGCTCCTTTCCTGTCCCTCTCCAGCTCCCGTCTGGGATGTGTCTCTGCTCCTCCCTGCCCTGCCGGGCAGCAGCACATCCCGGAGCAGCCCCAGAACCTGCCCCGAGCAGGATGGAGGGTCCTGAGCCTTCCCACTCCACTGCCACTCCACTGGTGCCACCACAGCTCACACCCTGGCATTGAAACACCTTCTTAAGCAAAAGCAGCATCACACCCCCTCTAGCCCGAGTTGGGAGCTGGGTTTTGAGGTGTGGTGCCAGCCCCTCCAGCACAGACCCCACAGCTCCAGTCTGTCTCACCCCTGTCACACCCACAGGGGTGCTCAGAGATAACACCCAGCCTGGACCCTGTATCTGCAACTCAGCATAATTTATACCTTGAAAAACAGCCTGAGTTAATCCCCCACCTTCTGGACAGGGAGGAAACATCCAGAGACACACAGGGTCCATCAGCCACAGAGCCAGACACTGCACTGTCTGAGCAGGACCAGGCTCCTCTGCCAGAAAACCCACCCCAGGCCTTGCTCTGTTCTGTCCCCCCTGCAGAACACTGGGTCCATTACCACGGGCCCAGCATAAAAATCTCAGGAGCAGAGCATCAGAAGCAACAGGAGATGCCGGGAGCACCAGAGGTGATAAAGGATGCCTGGGGTGAGGGGTCCTGCAGGGCTGGGGCCACCAGTGCACCCCACATCCCACTGATCACACAGGGCAACCTGCCCTCACCCCAGCACTTCCAAACCTGCCCGAGGGCAGCACATCAGCCCTGCCCGTGTGTCAAAAGCACCACAAGGAGCTGCTACTTACCGGGCTTTTCTAAGACAACTGGGATGTTTCCTCCCAACAGACACAACATCGAGTCCTTTGTCAGAGACCAGCACATAAAAATTGGTTGTTAAAGCCTTTTTAAAAGCAAAGGAGGGGTTATGTCAGGCAGAGGCAGCTCAGCTGGGGACCCCAGCAGCTCCCAGTTCCACTTCCAGCCTCTGGTGTTACATTTTGTGCAGGCACTGCTGCAGGCTGGTAGCATCTTACTAACTTCTGGAAAAGACAACAGCTTTTCAGTCAGCTCATCTCCAAACCACAACGTGTGCCGAGGGCTGCTGCACTGCCATGGCTGGAAGCTGCTCTGTGGGACGTACAGAGCAGGGAAACTCTCTGAGCTGCTGCTCATATCCCTCCTGCCAGTGCCCTGCTCAGCCCAACCCCACGTGCAGCTCTCCTGCACCATGGGCTGGGGCTGCACAGACACCCTGGCAGGGTGAGCAGGTCTCACCTGGGGCAACACAAGATCTTCCCAGGCCAAGAAATGTTCTAAGTGATGGTTGATGAGCTACTCAGAACCAGGGAGATGCTGGGGGAGCCCCCAGGACTGGCCCCACTGCCACTCCACTGGTGCCACCACAGCTCACACCCTGGCATTGAAACACCTTCTTAAGCAAAAGCAGCATCACACCCCCTCTAGCCCGAGTTGGGAGCTGGGTTTTGAGGTGTGGTGCCAGCCCCTCCAGCACAGACCCCACAGCTCCAGTCTGTCTCACCCCTGTCACACCCACAGGGGTGCTCAGAGATAACACCCAGCCTGGACCCTGTATCTGCAACTCAGCATAATTTATACCTTGAAAAACAGCCTGAGTTAATCCCCCACCTTCTGGACAGGGAGGAAACATCCAGAGACACACAGGGTCCATCAGCCACAGAGCCAGACACTGCACTGTCTGAGCAGGACCAGGCTCCTCTGCCAGAAAACCCACCCCAGGCCTTGCTCTGTTCTGTCCCCCCTGCAGAACACTGGGTCCATTACCACGGGCCCAGCATAAAAATCTCAGGAGCAGAGCATCAGAAGTGACAGGAGATGCCGGGAGCACCAGAGGTGATAAAGGATGCCTGGGGTGAGGGGTCCTGCAGGGCTGGGGCCACCAGTGCACCCCACATCCCACTGATCACACAGGGCAACCTGCCCTCACCCCAGCACTTCCAAACCTGCCCGAGGGCAGCACATCAGCCCTGCCCGTGTGTCAAAAGCACCACAAGGAGCTGCTACTTACCGGGCTTTTCTAAGACAACTGGGATGTTTCCTCCCAACAGACACAACATCGAGTCCTTTGTCAGAGACCAGCACATAAAAATTGGTTGTTAAAGCCTTTTTAAAAGCAAAGGAGGGGTTATGTCAGGCAGAGGCAGCTCAGCTGGGGACCCCAGCAGCTCCCAGTTCCACTTCCAGCCTCTGGTGTTACATTTTGTGCAGGCACTGCTGCAGGCTGGTAGCATCTTACTAACTTCTGGAAAAGACAACAGCTTTTCAGTCAGCTCATCTCCAAACCACAACGTGTGCCGAGGGCTGCTGCACTGCCATGGCTGGAAGCTGCTCTGTGGGACGTACAGAGCAGGGAAACTCTCTGAGCTGCTGCTCATATCCCTCCTGCCAGTGCCCTGCTCAGCCCAACCCCACGTGCAGCTCTCCTGCACCATGGGCTGGGGCTGCACAGACACCCTGGCAGGGTGAGCAGGTCTCACCTGGGGCAACACAAGATCTTCCCAGGCCAAGAAATGTTCTAAGTGATGGTTGATGAGCTACTCAGAACCAGGGAGATGCTGGGGGAGCCCCCAGGACTGGCCCCACACAAGCACCCAGGCACAGCCCTGGGCTCTGGTGCAGCACCCCAAGCCCTTTGGCAGAGGAATGAGATTTCACCCAAATGTAGATTGAAAAATACATCTGGATGCTCCTGCAAGCAGGGAGAAGAAAATGTATTGCATCCCACCCTTCACACCAAACCCAGCCAGAGGCAGCGTGAGGTGAGAGCCAGGGGTGAAGATGTGGTTTGAGCAAAGGAGACTCCCATAACCAGGGGGGCACCAGGGCATCCCCTCCAGCTGGTCCAAAACCCCCCGTCTGCACCCCAGCCTGGCTGCAGCCAACCTGCTTCACAGGGTGCACATCCCACCCCATGTTTCCATATCCCCAAAAGGCCCAGAGGCACCTGGAGCACCCTGACCTTTTCCAGCAGGGGAAGAAAAGCCTCAGGAGACCCTGCCCCATGTCCCCAGGAGGAGGAGGAGGGTAAGGAAGGCATCTGGATAGGGCTAGACAGATCCAGCCACAAGATCTTGAGTGCTTGTCCCCAGCCAAAGGGACACACCCAGAGAACAACCTGGGGGAGCTCAGCCTCTTTGGTGGAAAAAAAGAGCAATTTCAAGATACCAGAAGAGCATCCATCCAGTCTGGAGCACCAGGGTGTTTCTTTGCAGCCACACAAGCAAGGAGAGACTGGGTGACGCATTAAGTGTCTTTAATCCAAAGGACTGAAGAGCAGACTGGGAAAATTAGTATAAGCCAACAGACAAAAATAAAAATTAAAAAAAAAAAAAAGGGGATAAAAACCGGTTTTTAAAACAAATTAAAACTCCATACAGTGTCTAACAGATCACCTAGAAACTAATCATTGCCTTAAAAAATTTGTTTTCCCCATTCAAACACATGTAACGCAGTGAAACATTGTGACAAATAATAATAACAATAATAATAATTCGTGGACTAAAGACTTGAGAGCAGCCATCCTGGCAGGAGCCACGCCTGGGGGGCAACAGGACCCCCAGCTGGGGAGGGGCCCGTGCTGTCATCCCAGCTCAAACTATGGCCCCACACCATCTCCACCCCCTGCCTGTGCCACCAGCTTTTCCCTGGGAACCCCCAGGACAGTGTCCCCGGGCGCTGGGGGCACAGGCAGAGGAGGTGGGGAAGCATCTTTTCCCAATGCCCAGGGGAGATGTGGGGGTCACCAGCCTTCTGCTCACCCCCAGTCCCCCCCCTGAGGTCAGAGCTGGATCCCAGGCACTGGTCCAGACTGCAGTGGCCACCAGCAGCTCCACAGACAGACACACACCCCACGCACAGACAGACAGACAGCGAGACAGACACAGGGCAGCCCTGCGGCGCTGGCTGGAGTCCCGGCTTCCAGGACAGGGAATGGCTGGGGAGGTGGGGTTTGTTTGGGGTTTTTTTTGGCTACTGTGCTTTAAAAGCAGCAGTTTTCCAGGCCAAGCATGATGTCCACGAGGACCCCTCTCCACAACAGCCCTGCCACACAGCTCTCCCTCCTCCTCCTCTTCTCCCCATCCCATGGACCCATTCCGAAGCCCATCTCCAGCCAACAGCCACGCAGGGAACACACTGTCTGGGTTTCAGCTCTACAGTAGTTTTTAAAAAATATTTATATGTCATATACCCTAAAAAGGTCACCACAGGAATTTCCATTTTCTTTGGAAGGAAGGAAAAAAAAATAAAGATCAAAAACGGTTTCACAAAAGGAAAATAAATCCAATTCTTGGCAGCATTTACCTACAGGAGAGACCCCCTGGCTGCACGTGTGGATCTGGCAGGGGGGTCTTACCACCTGCTCCAGCAAGGTCAGAAACACGGGTGAGTAGCTAAAAATAACTAGTCTGGTATAAATGTCTGAATTCCATGCGCTTGGTATAACAGTCTGTCTCTTTTTGTCTTTTTTTTTCTTAAAAAATATATATATATAGTTATTGTTTTTCTCGAGGGCGGGTGGGCGCGGGGCACCCTCAGTGGGGGAGCGCGGTGGGCTCGGGGGGGTTTGCTTTTTTCCGCCTCTTCATCAGCAAAGGGTTGGAGGAATCTTCGATTTTCTTGATCTTGATTTGTTCGTAGTCCACGCGCATGGTGGCCAGAGCGCTGGTCATCTCCTCCTGCCGAGCAGGCACAGGCAGCACCATCAGCAAAGCCCCGCACGGGCACAGCCCACGGCTCCCCTGGGACCCCCAGGGCAGCTCACCCCCCTCCCAACCCCCGTGGGAACAAATGAAAGGTCCCCCCACTCAGTTTTGCAGCCCCTTCCCCAGCACAGATCTCCATGGGAAGGGCAGCAACGGGGAGAGGTTTTACCTTCACGTCCTCCCACAGATCCTTCTCCTCTTTCAGCACACGGCTGGTGTGCAGCGGGGTCTGGGGCACCTGCATGGATTGCTGCTGTGACAGGGGAGGAGTGTGAGGTGGGAGCCACGGGCTCCACTCCATCCCCATCCCCATCCCACCCCACCTCACCCCCCTCACCATGATCCAGGGGTGGTTCATGAATTCCGTGATCGTCATGCGCTGGGTTGGGTCCGTCTTCAGCAGGTTGCGGATCAGCTGCTTAACTGGAAGGGTGTGCAATGGGGTGGGCATTAGCAGGTCCTGGGGGGCTCTCCCCACACTCCACCCCAAGCCAGCAGCCCAAAAATGCTTCATGTGACCCCCCCCCTCCCTGTCCCCTCTGTGCCACAGATCTCACCCTGCTCAAACCCTCTGAAAAGCTTCTCGAGCAAAGAGGAGAAGCTGCTGCATCACTGGGAGGTGACCCACAATGTCCCCTGGCTCCCCCCAGCCTTCATGGTGCTGCTGGACACAGGGCTGACCCCAAAGGGACAATTCAGCCCGGGGAAAAGCCACCCTGGGAAGGTATTTACCTTCTTCTGACACTTCGGACCATTCGGGATTAGGAAACTCATACTGGCCCATTCGGATTCGCTTCTTCATGCCAGGTGAGATGGCCAGGCCGTGGTTGGAGTAGAAGGGGGGGTATCCACACAGCCTGCACCACGAGAGGGAGCAGAGTCAGTGCATCTCCCCAAAACCCTCCCCAGCAGCACCCACAGGCACAGGAGCAGTGCAGCCAGGAAAGGCTCAGCCCTCAGCCCACCAACAGGCTCCAAAGCTGCATCCCCTTTTCAGACCCCATGGGTGGAGAGGGACCTGCTGGACTTACAGAATGTACATGATGACACCAAGGGACCACATGTCGCAGGACTTGTCATACTTCTCTGGGCCCAACACTTCCGGGGCTGGTAGAGAGTGAAAAAAAATCCTGAGTTGAAGAAAGTGGCAGCACCAGGCAGAGAGGGACATGAGCATCCCATGGAGCCACCACAGAGCTGCACGTGGCTCTGTGACAAGGCTGTGTGGGGCCACCACCAAACCTCCCAGCTCCTCCCTCCAGCCCCACCAACCTGCAAGCTCAGAGCCCCCAGACACTCACCCACATAGTAGGGCGTGTAGCACGGGGTGGCCAAGGAGTTGTGTGTGGTGGTTTCTTTGGCAAAGCCGAAGTCTGTAAGTTTCAGCACAGCATTGGGCCGTTTGGAGGTGTACAGGAGGTTTTCCGGCTGGGAAAACATAGGGAACAAGAAGTGAGTGGAGGAGCTGGAGCAGCCCCAGCATCACCAGGGGCCCAGGGGGGCTCGGGGCCAGCAGGGAGAGCACAGCACAGTACCTTCACATCCCTGTGTGCAATGTTGATCGAGTGCAGGTACTGGATGGCCTCCCCAATGCTCTTCATTATCTCTGAAGCCTCTGAAGCCGCAAAAAAACCCAACCAAAACATCAAGAAACCATTCAAAGCAAGTTAAAAAGGGCACCACTCTCTGGGTTACTCCACAGACCAGAAGCCAAAGAGCTTCAAGGGGGTCCCCCAGGTCTCCCCTTCCAAGCAGGACCACCCCAGCACCACCCCTGGGTCAGGAGCCTGCAGCAAATGGGAGAGAAACTCCCAGTAGGGATGGGATAGGCTCTAGCCCCTGACCCAAATATCCAACCACACAAGCCCAAAGGAGGGTTGGCTCCAGGGTGGGAAGTCTGACCCAGCCCCCAGCACCACCAGGGACCTCAGTCTGCAGGGAAACCAGCTGGGAAAGATGCTCCCCAGGGATGTGAGGGCAATAAGCTCAGGGGTTGGTTTGTGGCAATAAGCTGTCCTAGGCACAGGAGCAGAGGGTTGGGATTAATGAGATTTACGAGAATCACAGAGCTCGGGTCTTCTTGGTGATTTTTGGAGGGGGGATGGGTGTTTCTGAAAGTCACTGAATGTGCTGAAACAGGATGGACAAAGCACAGGGACAGCTCAGTAAAACCCCTAACCTTGCTCTAGACTGAGCATGAAAAGCAGAGCCATTCACACCCATATTCCTTATTACCCAAGAGCAAAACCCCACTGGAGATTCAAAGTAGTGACTGAGGGAATGGGCCAGACCAGAGACACTCCTGTGAACAGCAAGAAATGGTCCAAAGACAAAACCCCAAGTCCCCATGGGCTCCATACCCCGTTCTGTGAAGGCCTGGTCTCCCCTGTCCTGAATTCTGCTGAAGAGCTCCCCGCCGTCCAGGCTGGAAGAGAAGCAGGAGGCATCAGGGGCTGCAGAACAGTCTCACAGCAGTGCAAGCGGCACCGAAACCTCTGATGTTCAGCCAGGAGCTGCACAAGCTCAGCAAGAAACAAACCCCTGCTCCATCCAAGCCCTTGGGTCGGTTGTTCTGGGCACGGGTTGTCTCTGAGCCTCCTCCTTCCAGAAATGAGCAGGGCAGAGGTTTTGTTCTGGCGGCGGAGACGCCGGGTGCGAGCGGACGTGGTCTCCCCACCAGCCCACAGAAACACATTTACAGTAAAGGCAGCAAAGGTGGCTTGAAGGTGGCGAGAGCTCTCCCAGCACGCCTGACCTGGTTCAGCTCACAAACCAACCACCTCTCCAGCACACCAACCCCTGCAGAAGTGCTGAGCAAAGACCGTGGCACGGGCGAGGAGTCAGCACCACTGACACGGGCTCCCTGCTGGGATGGGGGAGGCAGGGACTGAACCTCACCACAGCAGAGCAAAGCTCTCACGTGAGGTGCTGCAGAAGGAAACCTTGGCTGCCTTCCCAGCCAAAGGCTCCCCAGGTATCCTGAGGAAAAAGTCAACTCCCAGAAAGATCAGGGGTGAGATTAGGGATAATCCTCCATGAGAATAGGGATAACAGTGCTTCTTGTCCCTGCCTTACCTAACTCAAGCAGAAATGGTTTCTGGTTTTTCCCAGCACAGAGAGCATCTCCTGCCAACACCCTTGACATTCACTGGATACCTGGGATACAGCCACCATGCAGCTGCTGGGGCCAATGGCTGCACGAGGAGACACACCGTGCTGAGGCTGGATGTCAAAGGCTGCCTTGTGATGGGTGTCAGACCCAGAGTCCCCCTGAGACATGGGGAGCTGCCCCAGAGACAGGCTGCAGGGAGCCCCCCCTGCCCCACTGACTCATCTCCTACCATTCAGCTACTGCCTTCTTCCCACCCAAGCAGCACAAACCTCTCCTATCCCTGGCTGCCCAGTGTCCCAACATGGTTCTCAGAAGCCTCTTCCCACCAAGAGCCACTCGGGCAGCTGCTGCTCCTCGAACCCGCTGCCCCCCCAGGCAACCTGCTGGCTTGCCAGGGGCGAGGTTTTGGCAAGGAAGCTGCATCAAATCACAGCTGCGGTTGGGATGTGGTTTCAATACTTTCCCCTTCATTCCTCCTCCCCAGGTCATATCAAACATCTACCCGAACCAGGGCCGCCCGGCTGCTGCTGCAAGAGGCTCAGCGGCGCTGGGAGCTGCACCCGCTGGGCTGGGCTGCCCACTGCCCAGCAGGCCCCACCACAGGCTGCCAGGGTGCCAGGAACCCACGGACTACCCTGACTTTCAATGGCCAAAGCGAGTCTGGTGATGATGTATCTGCAGTGAGAACCACAGGCCCGGAGCCTCCTGAGCACGTTCTCAGAATGAGTCAGAGCCGGCGCAGCTCCCGCCGTCCCCCCCAAGGCCCTGCAGCACCTCCCCCAGGCTCACAGCACCTCGCTGGGGTCCCCAGCACCCCCAGGACGAGGCAGGAAGGTGCACACCCCCAGGTGGGTATCCCTGAGGACTCACCACTCCATGACGATGAGCAGACACTTCCTCCCCTGGTAGAGGTTCTCGTAGACGTCCATGATGCGGACGATGTGCGCGCACTGCGATGCCCGCCAGTGCAGCTGCACCGCCCGAGCAGTCCTGCAGCATCTGCGGGAGGAGAGAGACCCCGTCAGCTCCGAGTCCCCCGGCAGAGCCTGACTGCTGGCCCAGCACCCACCCGGAGAAGCCACAAGGGCGAAGTGCGGGTGCTCAGGCGTCCCGGCAGCTCAGCTCTGAGCAACGCCTGCATCCCCATCTAGTGGGAAGAGTGCGAAGCCACCCGCTCTCATCAGCTTCTTGCCCTCTCTCCCACGGCGGGGAAAAGCTTGTCCCAGCTGCCTGTCGCCCTCCTGCGCTCTGAGATGCCTCCACCGGTGCCCAGCCAACCTGTGCCACCACCGAACAAGACTTCCTACTGCATTTATGAGCACTCCCCTGCACGTTGGCACCCACACCCCCATCCCCCTGGGTGCCACCAAGCATCCTCGCTCTCCCCTTGGCAGCCCCAGCAGTGCTGCCCACTCATCACCTCCCATAGAACTGGCAGGACCCCCCTGCTCTGTGCCCTCACACATGGCTCCAGAGGCCACCAGCACCCAGCCACGTGTGCCTGGGGAGGGGACAAGGCAAACAGCCAGATGTTCCCTAAATAGCAGCTTTTCTCACGAGCAGCAGCAGCAGCTCTTTAATGAGGTCCTCACCCTTCCCAGAGACAACTCACAGTTCCCAGGTGCAGGAAGGATTTGCTCCTCTGCCATAGACTATTAATTACCATGTTTGTCAGGATAAACAACCAGCCTTAATTATTATATTCTAAATATAGAGCAACAAACGTGTCTGTCTTGAACCTGGTTCATTTTCCTTCCTGTCTCCAGCAGCTCATGGAGCAGGGCTGGGCAAATCCCCAGCTGCCCCCACCCCAGAGCAGGTCTGCACTCCAGGGCAGCCATGGGTGGGGGCACGTGGAAACACATCCCACCCACCATGTGCATGGGCAGGAAACAGCAGGTTTGCTCATTTTACCAAGAGAGGCAGCAATGTGCTTCTCACCCCTCTGTCCACTCCCTGGGGCTGCTCAGTGAAGTCGAGCATCCAGCTGGGAAGTGGGGGAGCATCAGCCCCTGGGATGCTTCACAGGCCTGGCAGGACCCAAAATCATGCCCAGAACCCCTCTGCCACAGGGAGGTTTCACAGGAGCAAGGGTTAACACTTGCTGCAGCCCTGAGAGTCCTACACTACCTGCTTACAAATGAAACACTGGCTGACAGTGAGCCCTGGCAGAGTAACTGGTGAGCCCTGGCGGAGTAATGGCAATTTGCATCCTGCCTTTGCCACGGGAAAAGGGACAAAGAGGATGCACCACCCACCCACCCACCCGTAACAGTGTCTGGTCACATCTCTCCCACCTCCTCAGCTCTCCTGCATCCAAGGCAGAAGAAACCCGTGCCTGTGGATGGGCTGTGGGCTGGCTTCTGGCATCAAACCACCTGGAAGCTCAGCATTTGGCATCATTTGCACCGACAGCCTTGGGGCAAAAGAAAGGCAGGGCAGGAGGCTGGACAGCCCCTCCTTGCTCCTCTATAGCTTGATTACCATCAAAACCAGATCCTGCCAAAGCCATAAGCAAGCGCAGCACAAGCCCCCCCAGCACAGGCAGGGAAGGGGCCTGGAGAAAAGCTGGATTATTTGCAGCTCTGCTCCCAGCAGCCCAGCCTGGGGAGCCAGGAAGCTGAAGAGAAAAAAAAAACAATTTGTAATTACACTCTGGGAAAATGGAACAGCAGGAAGCAGCCGGTTAACATCATTCTGCCCAAGACAAACAGGAGACATACAGAAACATATATCCAATTTTTAGAGGTCACCCGGAGTGCTTTTAAAGGAGCTGAATTGTATTTCTAATGAACCAGGAGGCAGCAGCCTCCATTACCTGCACCAGCACAGCCCTGACGTTTGCTTTTGTGCTCGGGTACCCGCAGGCGAGGGAGCAGCTGCCCCGGAGTGCCCCGGCTGTGCTGCAGCTGCCCCGGCCACCCCCGGCCCTGCCAGCTGTGGGATGGAGAGCCTTGTTAAGAGAATTATTTGGTCTATTTAGGAAATGTTCCCGGTGGCAGGTGACAGCGGCGTGACAGGGAGCTGAAGGCCAGATGCAACGAGGCTGGGTGGGGAAGGATATGACCGCTGCGGGGGGATGCAGGAGGGACATGGGGATGCCCAAGCCAGAGTAGAAGGAACCCACGGGCCCCAGCATCACCCACAGCACCTGCACAGCCTCTGTCCTGCCCTCAGCACAAAGCACCAGCTCCCTGTGCCCCGTGCAGCCAGGGATGTAGCCCAGCACGGCACAGAGAAGGGAAGCAGCTCTCGCTCCTGGTCCAGGCAGGGCGAGGGCAGCACTTCCAGCAGCTTCTCCTCTTCAGGCAGCAGTGAAACAACTGGTGGCTGATGTTCGGGTGTCACAGGCATGACTTGGTCATGGGAACTCCATATCAAACATACTTGGGGGTGTGTGGTGACACCACCCAGGTTCCTAATTCAGCTCTGGTATCCAGAGCAGCCTGTGGCTGCAGCAAGGTTTGTATTTCTTGGCTTGCAATGAGAGGGCTGGGATGAGAAAAGCACCTCATGTTTCCCCTGAGGTTCAGCAAGGGTCAGCTGCTCCATCCCCCCCCAGCTGAGAGTACCAGCCTGGGG